TAAAATAACCATAAGTCCAAATGTTTGTTTCAGTAATAAAAGCAACATTAAGTAAATAATCCTTAATTTCTTAATATACTAAAATTATTTTCTTTGGTCGATTTAATTTTAAGTAGGACAAAAAATCCATTTTATCAATGAGGAGTAAAGGCACTCTCTTGAAACGTCCTAAGTTAGAAGAAAATAATAATTCAATAGTGTAAAAAATACTGTGAGTAGTCAACTTCTTACCAAAAAAAACTTTCATATACTGTGCCTCTTATCTAATACACTCACTTCACTCTTCAAGAATCCATTTCAAGTCACCTTTATTTCACTATACTTATACATCCACCCCATCTTAAAAGTAGTGTGAAATATGAGGAAGCAACTTATTTTACTATCATCTTAAGTAACAAATCAGCAAAATATTTTTAATTCTAATAATGATGTTAAGTTATAACCATTTAACATAGGTAAATAATCAGTATAGCTATTACTTAAATTTAATTCAATACAAAAAACATTTTAAAAATAAAAATCCTCTAATGCGATATAAACGAACAAAAAAACTCCTCTGTGCTAACAGAATAAATCAAACTACCAATGAACTTAAGAAGCTACAAACCTGCTGGCTAATTATTGTCTAATGAAAATTATTTAAGACTTATAGCAGCGCACTGGTTGGTCTTGCTCAGCGGTTAGAGCATTGGCTGGAGGACCAATGAGTCGTGGGTTCGATTCCGGACAAGGGTACATACCTCAGTTGCAGTTTGTCTGTGGCACTGGTCAGGGTTGTGCAGGAGGCAACCAGTGAATGTGTCCCTCTCACATTGTTGTTTCTCTCTCTCTCCCTTTCTTCCCCTCCTTCCCACTCTATCTGAAGATAAACAGAAAAAATATCCTCAGGTGAGGATTTTTAAAAAAGATTTATAGCAGAGGTTCTCAACTGGGGAGACTGTAAAACCACCAAGGCCTGGGCTCCACCCCCAGATCTTATTTTAATTGGTCTGAAATGATCAGTATTTGTAGTTGTAAAATTAACAAAAAAAATAAAACACAGGTAAATTGAGTTAAATGTGCTGTAGATTTAAGAACCACCAATTTATAGTATACTCCAATTTTAAGAGTTAAAAAAAAAAAAAAAACAGCCCAAGCCAGTGTTGCTCAGTTGGTTAGAGAGCTGTCCCATGCACCAAAAGGTTGCTGGTTCGATTCCCAGTCAGAACACATGCTCAGGTTGCTGATTCCACCTCCCACAGGGGATGTGCTGGAGGCAGCTGATTGATGCTTCACTATCACATGGATATTTCTATATCTCTCCCTTTCGTCCCCCCTCTCTAGAAATTCAATAAAAATATATTTTTTAAATAGAGAAAAAGAAAGAAACCTTGTTCAATGGCACCAAAAGTTTTAAGCATACTAAAATTTAAGGTATAGAGAAAAGGTCAGTGACAGAAAGAGAAAAAGACAATATTAAAAAAATAATCAAGGCTTATCAAACTTTTTTCCTTTAAAAATGTTAAAAGTTGAAAGTCCCATGATAAACTTTGTTGATAAATCTGCTCATACTGCATTATTTTTTAGATAACTGCTAAATAAAAACCTAGATATATGAACTCAATAGCAAGAATAAAAGAATGACAAAAATTTAACACCATATAAAAATAGTAAATTAATATAGTATCACAACGCAAATGAGAAACAAATTACAGTTCCTTCAATAACTTTCCCTAACCTCAATATTAAACAGAATAAATGTTTCTTTAAACCACTTTCCAATACCTTTAATTCTCCAGCGTCTCAAAAGAAAATTCATTTTAAGATGATTAAAAATTACATGGCTTTAGTCTGTTTATCTGAGAGTAGAAAGAACAAACAAGTGCAGATATTTCCCTTATAAAAGCAGCACATACAATCTGGATGATCAGCCTATAATACTCCCTTTACAACAGGGTCCAGAGAAATTAACAAGAAAAAGAAAAAGTTCTTAACTTTAAATAATTTTCATTTTAGCGCACTTTCATGGAATTCCATTTTTCTATAACAGCTCAAAGTATATGAAAATTACAACATGATCCAGCATGGAGGGCTGAAGAAAGATCATCATAACTTCCAACATATCTCAGAGTTATCTTTGTTAAAATAGATGTTAAAACTTAAAAATAAAAAAATTAAAGATAAGTTGCCCAACGTTGAGAATAAAATTAAAAGAATCACTATTAAAGCAAGTTACAGCTACATGCAAAAAAATGAAACTCGACCATCAACTTACACCATACACAAAAATAAACTCAAAATGGATAAAAGACTTAAATGTGACCCGTGAATCCATAAAAATTCTAGAAGAAAATGTAGGCAACAAAATTTCGGACATCATACGGAGCAGAATTTTCACTGATACATCACCTAAGGCAACAGAAATAAAGGAGAAAATGAACACATGGGACTACATCAAACTAAAAAGCTTCTGCACAGCAAAAGAAACGATCATCAAAATGGAAAGGCAACCCACTGTATGGGAGAACATCATTGCCAATGATGTATCAGATAAGGGGTTAATTTCCAATATATACAGAGAGCTCACACAACTCCACAAAAGGAAGACAAAGAACCCAATTAAAAAATGGGCAGAGGAGCTGAATAGACACCTCTCCAAACAGGACATACAAATGGCCAAGAGACATATGAAGAAATGCTCAACATCACTAATCATCCGAGAGATGCAAATTAAAACAACAATGAGGTATCACCTCACACCTGTCAGAATGGCCGCCATCAACAAATCATCAAACAACAAGTGTTGGCGAGGGTGTGGAGAAAAGGGAACTCTAATACACTGCTGGTGGGAATGCAGACTGGTGCAGCCGCTATGGAAAACAATATGGTGCTACCTCAAAAAATTAAAAAGTGAACTTCCATTTGACCCAGTGATCCCACTGCTGGGAATATACCCTAAGAAGCCTGAAACACCAATCAGGAAGAATATATGTACCCCCATGTTCATAGCAGCACTATTTACAATAGCTAAGATCTGGAAACAGCCCAAGTGTCCACCAGTAGACGAATGGATCAAAAAGCTGTGGTACATATACACAATGGAGTACTATGCAGCGGTAAGAAAGAAAGATCTCTTATCCTTTGAGACGACATGGAGGGACCTGGAAAGTATTATCCTAAGTGAAAGAAGCCAAGCAGAAAAAGACAAATACCACATAATCTCACTTATATACGGAATATAATGAACATAACAGTCTGAGGAATACAGTAGACCCAGACACATGGAAGTAGGGCACAGACTGACATCCCTCAGAAGAGGGGATGGGGGGTGGGGGGGTGGGAAGAGATAAACCACAGAACTTATATGCATGTATGCATGACCAATGGACATGGACAACTAAGCCGGGGACAGGGTGGAGGGGGTGGGGTGGGGGGTGCCAATGGGGTAAAAAGGTAAAATATCTGTAACAAAAAAATAAATAAAAATTCATAAAAAAAAAAAAAAAATAAAGCAAGTTATACAGGGTAAGAAAATCCATTTAACTTCCATGTAATTTCATTTTTCTCAAATTCTTAAAATATTTAGGACACATCAAATAAGAGATAACAACCCAAAAAAGAACTAAATATTTTGATAAATCTTAAATGTCTTCAGTTAAATATTAGAGAAAAAATATATTATAAACCAAAATTCAGTGATATCTAAGTGCCAATATCCTGGTAAAGACTTTGAGATATTGAAAGAAGCACATTTTCAATTCAAAATGGTTAGAAATGAAAGATGTTTATTTCTATGTCACTAAAGAAAACAAAATTTTAAATTACAGATTTATAGTTTTATTAAACAACTTCAGCATCTATGTCATAAAAATAAGCCTGAAAAAGCTTGTCATTAGAATGACTTCATAGAATTCCTGTTTGGTATTTCATAAAGATATTAATCTTTATTACTCTAGAATATTCTTGGCATATACTTTTTCACATTCTTCTCTCCTGAAAAAAAATGTGATGTAAAAATTTTAAAGAATACCCAGCCTCAGAAAGAACACTCCCTTGAGAAATAGTTGTTGAATTAGCTCCTAAATATTTACTGACACAAGAACCCCTCCTACCTTTTTTTTTTTTTTTTTTCAATCCTCACCTGAGGACATTTTTCCATTTTTTGTTCAGACAGAGTGGGAGGGGGAGAGAGGAAGGGAGAGAGAGAATCATCGACATGAAAGGGACACATCGAGTGGCTGTCACCCGCACAACCAACCAGGGCCGGGGACAAATTGCAACCAAGGTATGTGCCTTAGCAGGAACCGAACCCGGGTCTCTCTGGACTGTAGGCCCCGGCTCTAACCGCTGAGCCAAACCGGCCAGGGTGCCCCTCCTACTTTAACTTAGAACTCTCCAAACCTATCAAAGGTTAAACCCATAAAGAATGAGCTAGTGAGTAGAAGCTGAGGTAACAGAAAAAGGATCGATAAAGGTAACTGCACTTAGATTATTTTATGATTGCCAAACTGTGCACTTGCATACATATAAATGCTTCTCTCTCTCTCTCTCTCTCTCTCACACACACACACACACACACACACACACACACAGAGGGGGCGGGTAAATATGCTCTGTTGTTTTACTAGTCCCACTCTAAAGGCACGGCATAAATATAAAGAAAAAGCTGTGTTGCTCAGACTAATTTTGGACTAAGGCTTCACTGATGATTGATGGATAAAGAGACAGATATGAAAATACATTTGGGAGTGAGGGGTGAAAATGACACAGATAAGACTCTAAGCCAGTATTTGTGATTCACAATTCTAAAATTGATTTAAGAACATATAAGAGATCCATAGGGTAAATGTGAACTAAACCAACAAAAATTTGAAATATAATCATAATATATCTTATAAAAATTTTTAAAGATCTACATAATAGGATAGGTTATATTGGTTTCATATTGTGCAGTTTAAAATATCATTCCTTAAAAAGAGATTTTATGTGACTACATGTAGGAAGGAGTTAATGCATCTTACCTTCCACAGAAGGTGCCTGGTCTTGAGCTGAATACAGCATATCCTTGAAAGCCTATTAGGAAGAAATAAAAGGAATACATGAATTGAGTCATCTTTATACTAAAAGCATTTGAAGCTAAACAATTACTTCTTTTTCAATATCCACACAATGACTACGGTTCCCTAAATTAAGAATTTAGTGAATTTTCTCCTTTGTCTCTCTTGCCTTAAGAGATGTATCAGCGAAAATTCTGCTAGATGAGATTTCTGCAATTTTACCGCCTATGTTTTCTTACAGGATTTTTGTGGTTTCATGGCTTAAGTCTTTTATCCATTTTGAGTTTATTCTTGTGTATGGTGTAAGTTGGTAAGTTGGTGGTCTAGTTTCATTTTTTTGCATGTACCTGCCCAATTTTCCCAACACCATTTATTGAAGAGACTGGCTTTACTTCATTGTATGCTCTTGCCTCCTTTGTCAAATATTACTCGACCATATGGCATGGGTCGATTTCTGGGGTCTCTATTCTATTCCACTGATCTATATGCTTGTTCTTGTGCCAGTACCAGGCTGTTGTGATTACAAGGGTTTTGTAGTATAGTTTGATATCCAGTACTGTGATCCCTCCAACTTTGTTCTTCTTTCTCAAGACTGCTGAGACTATTTGTCACTAATCTTCAGAGAGATGCAAATTAAAACAACAATGAGGTATTGCCTCACACTTGCCAGAATGGCTACCATCAATAAATGAACAAACAACAAGTGCTGGCGAAGATGTGGAGAAAAGGTAACCCTAGTACACTGCTGGTGGGAATGCAGACTGGTGCAGCCACACTGGAAAACAGTATAGAGTCTCCTCAAAAAATTCAAAAGGGAACTGCCATTTGACCCAGCAATCCCACATCTGGGAATATATCCTAAGAATCCCAAAACACCAATCAGAAAGAATATATACACCTCTATGTTCACAGCAGTGTTATTTAGAATAGCTAAGATCTGGAAACAGCCCAACTGTCAATCAGTAGATGAGCGGATAAAGAAGCTGTGGTACACTTACACAGTGGAACACTATGCGGCTATAAAAAAAAGGAGCTCTTACCCTTTCCAACAGCATGAATGGACCTGGAGATTATTATGCTAAGCAAAATAAGCCAGTCAGAGAAAGACAAATACCATATCATCTCACTTATATGTGGAATCTAATGAACAAAATATACTGACAAACAAAAAAGGTCGAGAGATGGATGCATGGAACAGACTGATAGATCTCAGAGGAAAGGGAGTAGGAGGGGACAGAAAGAGATTAACCAAAGAACTTACTATATGCATATATGCATTGCCCATGGACACAGACAATAGTGACTACAAATGGGGGACATCTGTAATACTGTCAACAATAAAAATAGACTATTTAGTGAAATATTTCCATTAACCTTAATAAGGTAAAACAAAACTGCTATATTTTCATACCAATCCAATATTGTCTAATCTTTAAGACAAGGGCTAATTGGTACACTTTAAAAATTAAGGGGCATTTGAAAACAGTAAAAAAGTCACCCGAGAGATCATCAACTCTTTGACTAAAAGATAATAGTTATAGAAACTGAGAACAACAGTCCTAGAGGAATACAGTGGAACATTGCATAAGAAGATAAGAAACACTGGACGCAAATTTTTTAGATTGTGTTATATACATGCAATTCACCATCTTAACCATTTTCAAGTGTACAGTTCAGTAGTGTTAAGTACATTCACACTATTGTGCAGATAATCTCCAGAATTCTTTTTTTTTTTAATTTTTGGTACATGCCCCTAGTGGGAACCGAACCCGGGACTCTTTGGTCCACAGGCCGACGCTCCAACCACTGAGCCAAACCAGCAAGGGCTCCAGAATTCTTTTCATCTTGGATAGAAAAACTTTTCAGTGGAGGTGAAGAAAGTCCTCCCTAACAGTTCAGGACTATAAAGATAGTAAAAGGTTTGTTTTTTTCCAAACCATGAAATCAACTAACGACAATTTAGGTAAATTTGAATGGTTGCACTTTGGTCTCTTTAAGTTGTTTGGAGACAGAAATGAAAAGCATTGCTTCATATCTATCAAAATGGCAGAATTAATTAAATGGATAAGGTTGCAGAGCTAAAGAGCTGGTCATCAGCTGAGGAGGGTGTATCCAGTCCCACAGCTTCAAAGCTTCAAATACCATCTTACTATTGGGGATTCCTGAACTGGCCACCAGCTTTCCTCAACTTCTGTAAAACTGACATTTGGAGCAAGATAATTCCTTGTTGCGAGGAGTTGTTTTGTGCATAACATGATTTTTAGTAGCATCCACCCCATAAAAGTTATGACAACCAAAAATGTCTTCAGACACTGCCAAATGTCCCCTGGGGAACAAAATCACTCATCCCCATAACCAGTGGCCTAAAGTCATTCAAGCATATAAAAAAAAAAAAAAAAAAAAAAAAACAGCCCGCCCTGGCCGGTTGCTCAGTGGTTAGAGCATCAGCCCACAGACCAATGAGTCACAGGTTCAATTCCGGTCAAGGGCACGTGCCTCAGTCAAGAGCACGTACCTCGGATGCAGTTTGTGCCTGGCCCTGGTCACGTCGCGTGAGAGGCAACCAGTCAATGTGTCCTTCTCACATCAATGTTTCCTCTCTCTCCCTCCATCCCGGTCTGTCTGATGATAAATGGAAAAATATCCTCGTGTGAGGATTTAAAAAAAACAAAAACAGCCGGGCCAGTGTGGTTCAGTGGATTGAATATCGTCCCATGGACAGAGAGGTCCCAGTTTAATTCCCAGTCAGGGCACATGCCCAGGTTGCGGGTTCGATCCCCAGTAGTTTGATCACCAATAGCAAAGATTTAATCATCATACCCATGTAATAAAACCATAAGAATTCCAAAAAACTTCAGGGTTCAGAGACCTTCCAGGTTGATGAATACATCAATGTACTAGAGGGCATAAAAGCTCTGTGCCACCCTTGTTCCCATACCTTGCCCTGTACACCTCTTCCATTTGGCTGTTCTTTAAGTTGTGTCCTTTACAATAAATCTGTAATAGTAATCATAGCACTTTCATGAGTCTTGAGAGTCATCCTAGCAAATTATCAAACCTGGAGGTGAGGGTCGTACGAATCCCCAAATTTACAGTCAGTCAGGCAGAAGTGTGGGTAGCTTGGGTACTCCATTTGCAGCAGGTATCTTAAGTGGGAACAGTCTTTTGGGACTAAGCCCTTAACTGATGGAGTCTGTACTAACTCCAGAGAGTTAGTGTCAGAACTGAACTGAGTTATTAGACATATAGTTGGTATAGGAGAAATGGCTGTAGGTGTCAGAAAAACAGAACCACCTTTGGTGTCAGAAGCGGTGATAGAAAATACCCAAACATGCCCTGGTCGGTTTGGCTCAGCGGTTGGAGTGTTGACCTGCGGACCAGAGAGAGTCTCGGGTTTGGTTCCCGCTAGGGGCACGTACCAAAAAAAAAAAAAAAGAAAAAGAGAAAGAAAATACCCAAACAGAAATATTTTAGGAAAAAAACCTTTATTAGTGGGCCACAGTTTTTCTAAGATTACATTTGAAGCTCAGCCTCATGTTTACTGACCATTAATTCTTACACTTATTTGTGCACAAATGCCCTAAGTGAATATGACAAAGGTATGGAACTTCTTTTAAGAAAAATGTATGGCCCTGGCCAGTTTGGCCCAGCTGAGAGAGCACTGGCCTGCGGTCCAGAGAGACCCGGGTTCGGTTCCCGCTAAGGGCACGTACCTTGGTTGCAGTTTGTCCCTGGCCATTGCTGGGTCATGTGGGTGGCAGCCACTCGATGTGTCCCTTTCACATCGATGTTTCTCTCTCTCTCTCTTCCTCTCTCTCCCTTCCACTCTATCTGAACAAAAAAATGGAAAAATGTCCTCAGGTGAAGATAAAAATGAATGAATGAATGAATGAATGAATGAATGAATGAATGAATGAAAAATGTATGTACACACTCACTATTTTCTTTACAATTTCAGATGTCTCAGAGACCACTATTTTCATTTAAAAAAAAAAAAATTTAGTCCAGAATATCTTAACCAAACATCAGAAAGTCTTTATTTCAGTTTAGAGATTGATATTTTATATTAAAGTCTATACAGCGGTAGAGTGGTGTTTATGTTAGTTTTTCCACAGGATATTTTAAGACAGTAAATGAATACATTGCTTAGAGCAGAGTAAATAGCTAGAAATATAAAAATTTAAGAAGAAATGAACCAATAAATACAGCCAGAGAATACTTATGGAAATAAATCTATCATGGGAGCAGGTATCAGAAATTTAAATGTTTAAATGAAGTTCTTGTACTTCAGGAGTATAACAGGCATGTGTACAAAAATTAAACGATGTGATAAGGAACCAAATAAACCATCAATAACTAGCATAGTGGCTTGTACACAGTAGGAGCTCAATAAAAAATTCTTGAATTCAAAAGGGTTTCTTCTTTGGAGAAAATTACTTTAAAGGTGATTGAAAAAGCACACTAAGACTCTCTGACATGTAGTGAAAATGAATTAAATTTGCAAAAGAAAAGCTTACCAAATTAAGTCATTTCAAATGATTAAAATTTTATAAAGAGAAAAACGATAGTCTTCATTTTGATTATAAAACTGAATCATAATTTCATTTAAATCAAGACAACCCTCAGCAAAATTATGTACAATTCTTTTTACTTCTTACTACTTCAGTTTTCCTCAGAATAAAAGACCTTCTATGTTTTTCACAGTAATAGACTCTAAAAAACTCCGTAAATAGGATATCAGTCTATACCTGTGACAATAGAACAGCCCTCAATTGGGAACCAGGGGTGGGAAAAGCCTACAAAGTACTGCCTATATATTAGTACCCAGATCACTTGCCTAGATTAGGAAGAATACATCCAAATATACAAAACAACAAATTCAAACAGTTTCCTAAATTCTTGCTCTTTTACTTTAAGGACATCCAATATTTTATATAAAACTCTGAATCTGCATAATAAATAAAATCAACACATATTCATTATGTCCATTACAAAAGATTTCTTTGATTTCCAAAG